CCAGTCACTAGATCAACATTAACTCAATACAAACTTTGTAAGTGATGCCAATTAAATAACTTACTTTTTATTTATTCACTGGGTGTGAGCACCAGCAAGGAGTGTATTTATTTAGAATCCCTAATTCTCCTTGAGAAAGTGGTAATGAGCCAACTTTCATGTCCATGTAGTGTAGATGCTGTTAGGGAGGGAGTTCCAGGTATTTAACCCAGGAGCAGCGAAGGGATGGTTATGTAATACCAAGTCAGGTTGATATGTCAATTCGGAGGAATTGGCAGGTCTGCGGCCCTTTTTATTCCTGCTGATGGAGGTCGATGGTTTGGAAGGTGCTGTTAAAGGAGCCTTGGCAAGTTGTTGTGCATCCTGTTGATGGTGCACATTCCGTGTGTATGTGTGTACATGTTTGTGGGGTGGTGAAGAATGAATGCTTAAGGTGGTGGATGACATGTCAATAAAGTAGACTACTTCATCCTGGTTAGTTTTCAGCATCTTGACTGTTCTTGCATCTGCTGTTGTTCCATCACACCGAATTGTGGCTGACAGACTTTGGGGAGTCAGGAGATGGGCTACTTGCTCCAGAATTCCTAACCTCTAACCTGCTGTTCCTATCATCACATTTATATGGCTAGTCTAGTTCAGTTTGTAGTCAGTGGCATCACTCAGGGCATTGGTGCTTGTAACAAACGTGCATTTATATAATGCCCTTCATGACCTCACCGTGCCCCAAATTGTTAGAATCACTGCAGTATGTTTGAAATGAGGTCATTACATCCTGTGTTTCCTCCACATCTTTTAACACTGAGGTCCCCGGACCTTTGAATTTAGCAAATAGATCACTGGTATTGACATCCTGAATTTGTGAGCTTAGTAAGTCATTAACCATTTTGTGCAAGGCCATGTTTATTGTCACCTCTACTGGTGATGCCAAGTGATGGGGGGATTTTTATTTCTTGAGGGTGTTAAGCTTTGTTGGGGTTGTGCACTGGAAATCAAGTCCCACTATTCCTGGAGTTGTCACAAAAGTTAAAGATTTTATAGAAGTATGAAAAATTCCCAGTTAACATGTCCTTTTAGACCTAGGTTGACAGCACAGATCAGGTTTCTGTGCTGAATGACTACTTATTCCAAACTTTTAAAAAAAAATTCTAGCTACGGTAAGTAATTATGAACTGTTGATATATAATTCTAACTCTCCTTCTAAAATCCCCCTACAAATGTAAGCAGATAAAATAAAACACCGGTGTTATGAGCAGAGGTAAAAACTGGGAAGGCGGTTCACTGGTCCCTGTGCACAGGATTCACTGAAATGATTCTTTGGCTTGCCAGGACTTGCTATTCCTCAATATCTGTTCTCTAGGTACTTTCTCCTGCTTGCAGGAGGCACAGAGTGACCGGTTCACACTCAAAGTCTCTGATTTATTAGTTAAAAGTAACAGTTATAACAACTGGGGAATGAAAATTCACTAGCTTTCTTCAGGCTTTAAGTATTTTCTTTAACTGCGTAGAGAAAGACAGCACACCCTTACCAGAGTTCGAAAGGCCTAAATTATTCACACCTCTAAGCTGTTTAGGTACCTAGAAGCCAATCAAGTAGTTGTTGGTAGGCAGTAGGTCTTTGACATCACAATCGATCACCACTCTGCAGACCAATCAGCTGTGTATTGCTGGCAGAAGTTCCCGTAGCACCAGCCTATCTGCAGAAACCTTTCCCTGCTGCTTGAACAGTTTGCAGTGTAAACATTGCTTACAATGACGGTCAGTCAACTGCTTTTAAAAAGAGCAGCAATCCCTTCCCAAATCCCTATTTTTCTTTTTAAAAAAAACAAAAAAAATCCTTTTCCCACTTGAGTCCACAGTCAAAAATACAGGAAAGTAAAAAATGGTCTTTACAAGTATCCCTCCCAATTAATAACTCCGATTATCTACTGGAATTGTAAGCAAGGGGTTTCCAGATACATATTTGTCTTTTCAAGTCCTCTCACCCAGGAAGTTTATAAAATGTCAACTAAAGGACAATATTTTGAAGTACAATGCGGTAACCGGTGGGGAAACGTTGCCTAAAAAGAATTCACACTCTGCAATTTTTTTTATAAATTTGCTGATTTGGTACAAAACAGTGGGGAATATTCCTTTGAAGTTTCTAAATGGGCCACTTTTTGAAGAAATGGAAAGTTATGCACACTGGTCTCATTACCATTTGAAACTTCCTTTAAATTGGTTTTTGGCTGCAGTAATAATGTTCTCAAGCAGCCAGCAGTTATGTCAAAATAAATGGAGCTGTATTTTTAAGACCATTGGTTGGGAAGACTGGTGATCTGTTAGTCAAAATGTCATAGCTGTGTCTAGATGTGCACAGGAAAAGGACCCACAGTGTCAACAGTTCACAGGAAAGCTGGCTGCATTTTATTAAGGTAAAGGAACAAATGATACAAGTCAGCCCTAGACCAAGACAGAGGGCAGTGTAAGAGCTACTTATTTCACCTTGCCACTCCGGCTGTTTTGGCCTTACCCCCTCCATTTGCACCTTGAAACCTTACCCTATGTTCCGTGGCTTTTCATGTTGATATCTTGATGAGTAAGAAGATTGTTGAGTAGACCTGGGACAGAGAGCAGCAAATGACCTTGGCTGTTTACTTTGGAATGTCTGTGTGACCTTTTCTTCAGGAACCACTGGTAGATCTGGTATTTTTCCACAAAGCTACTTCAATGTGTTTTCCATGAGTTAGGACTGTTTGCTTGTGTGGAGGGTAAACATTGAAATGAACTGATTGATTGAACCCTATGACCTGTTACCGTATTGTAACTCGTATGTATTGCCCTGAATGCATGTGTAATCTCTAGTTTATTAAGTGGGGAAGATTAAACGTTAAAATGATTTTAAAAATTATTAAATGTGTTGCATAGCAATTCCACCTGGAGCACTGCCCTATACGAGAAACTTCAGGGCAGCACAGTGGCTCAATGGTTGGCACTGCTGCCTCACAGCACCAGGACCTGGGTTCAATTCCAGCCTCAGATGACTCTCTACGTGGAGTTTGCACATTCTCCCCATGTCTGCTCCGGTGTCCTCCCACAGACCAAAGATCTGTAGGTTAGGTGGATTGGCCATGCTAAATTGCCATGGTGTCCAGGGATGAGCAAACTAGGTGGATTAGCCATGGGAAATGTGGGGTTATAGGGATGCCGGCAGGGTTTGGGGGGGAACCGAATGGCCTGCTTCCACATTGTAGGGATTCCATGATTCTACTTCTTGGACTGTTGGCTCTTTGAGCTGGACTATTGTTCTATTTACTCCTCCTGGTGATGCATCCTCCACAGTCTGCAGAGATCATCATCAGTTCTTGTGAGATAAATGCTGCTGAAATTAGCCTAAAGCTTCTGCAGTTGGATAATCTTTTTGAACTAATAATGAACCTTGCGAAAAAAACAGCTGGTGTGAAATTCAGTGTGTTGGCTGCATTCATAATTTGCCTAAATCTCTAGATGTTTCAAAATGAAACCGAAGTATATGTGGACACTTATTTTTTAACATGACTTGTGCTTGATACTGTATTAACAGTGGAGGATTTTGTTTTATTTTTCCACTGATTTTTCTTTTTCTCGGTCTTCTCTTACCTCCAATAAACTTCCTGACTCTGGTTTGGATAGTGGAGGAGCACATGGCCCTTTTGAATCCCAATCCAGCAATGCTTTAATCTTAAAGTTCTCATCCTTGTGTACAAATACTTCCTTGACCGTTCCTTTCCGTATGTCTGTAACTTCCACCAGTCCTACAAACATTGGAGATCTCTGCAGTCCTCAAATTCTGGCTTCTTGCTTAATGTTACCCATAGGCATTGGCAGCCAAAGGCATAGTCAGCAAAATCCCAGCTCTGCAATTCCCTCTTTAAACCCCTCCGTGTTGTGCGCAGTCTTGGGCCCCATATCTCAGGAAAGAAGTACTGGCCTGGAGCAAGTTCAGAAGAGGTTCACAAGAATGGTCCCAGGAATGAAAAGTTTAATGTTTGAGGACTCTGGGTCTATACTCGATGGAGTTTAGAAGGATGGGTCGGGGTGGGAGGGGATCGAATTGAAGCTTACTAAATGGCCTGGACAGAGTGGATGTTGGGAAGATGCTTCCATTGGTAGGAGAGACTAGGACCCAAGGGCACAGCCTTAGAGTAAAGGGAAGACCTTTTAGAACAGAGAGAAGGAGAAACTTCTTCAGCCAGAGAGTGGTGAATCTATGGAATTCACTGCCACAGAAGGCTGTGGAGGCCAGGTCATTGGGTATATTTAAGACCGAGATAGATGGATTCTTAATTGTCAAGGGGATCAAGGGTTATGATTGTCAAGGGGATCTAGGATTACGGGGATGAAGCAGGAGAATGGGGTTGAGAAACTTAGCCATGATTGAATGGTGGAGCAGACTCGATGGGCTTAATGGCCTAATTTCTGCTCCTATGTCTTATGAATCTCTGTCTGCCTTCTGTTTAACATGCTCCATAAAATATTCCTCCTTGATCAAACTCTTGGCTACATCACTTATATCCCTGTAGACATGCTACTGCACTGAAAGTAGCAAGGGTGCATAAACCTTTGTTGAACATTATTTTTATATTTATTCGAAAAGAAGTTTGTGTTGGGTATTTTCATAGCATAGTTATTCAGTCCTCTCCCTGGAATGGATTCCACTGGTCTATTTTTTTTTTTTGGAGAGGGGAGGTGTGGCACAGTAAAATTACATGAGAATAGCTGGAAAATGGTATTTTACTTTTAAAAAGAAAAAACAAGTAGGGCTGGTCCTACTCGTATTCCTTCTCAGAAATGAAGTTTTCATATCAAAATGCTAAGAACTGTAAGGATTTTATTTGGTATTTGCCTCACAGTAGGAGGTAAAAGTTTCAGCTTATGAGCAAACCTATCTCTATGTTCAGAAACAGTGCTGAAAAATGCTGAAATGAGAACTCATTCCACCACCTTTTCACCGTTTAATGTGTTGCTTTTCTGTTGTTTGTTCTTTCACAGGCTAACATTGGCCAGATGGATTCAGCTGCAGAGCAGTGGAAGATGATCACCGGAAATCTGGCACTAATTCAGGTAAGTGTGTTGGAGGTTTAACCTCTAATGTGAGGGTGGACCAACTTTACTGGTAAATACGGGAAAGGCAAGGAAACCCCTTGCCTTGTTCAAATAGATTATATTTCTTTTATGGCTGATCAAAACATCTAACTCGGTTATTCAGATGTGCATAATGTGCAATTGCTCCTTAAAGGAATATTGGGCTTCGTCAACTCTGCCCCAACAATGTGTCTCAACCTGACCCACTCTAGAATTCCCTCTCCTTGATGTTAGTGTGATAGGTTTTTCCATAAATACAATGGACATGTAAGAGAACTATTGGAAGTTGTGAAAATAATCAGAGGATTGCTAAAAAACTTTCTTTTGTATTTACAGAATTAGAGTGCTTTATCAATAATGACTAAATTCAATGACTAATCTGATGTTGCTGTGAAGGCCCTGCCTTCTTGACTTTGCCTCTCATTGAACCTGTAGTGTGGTGACCCCCTGGGTTAAACTCACCACCAGTCGTCTCTCTCTAACGAGAGAGGAGCTCATCCTCTGGAACTATGCTGACTTTGGCCATTTGAAATAGTGAAAGGAATCTAGATGGTCTGCAGGCTATTCAAGTGTAGAGGACAGAATAGCAGTGCTCTCACTTGGAAATGTACTCACTCCAGTAAAGGTCTCTTAATTACGTGGGGGCAGTAACTACTCTTCATCTTCCCTTCCACCTCCTGCACCCACCCCATTCTCTCTCGGTGTCTCGCTGCACTCTCGAAGTCCAGGGTTAGTGCCAGAGTTTGTTTATTTTACTACATTTAATGGTGCATTTACCCACTAATTCATGATTCATTAGCTTGATCCCAGAGTATGTTGTTTTGTAACAATGATCATTGCTGCCATAATGGAACGGAGCCATTTCTTGGAATGCAGTACAGAATGGTTTGCAGTTGATGCATTGGGAATGTGCGTGTATGGACTATTCCTTTTAATTGTTCTAATAGATTTTAGCATGATTAAATATAATCAGCAATGAAGATTCAGGTCTTCAAATGTAGATATTGGTGTTGAGTAAGAGAATGGTGTTGTGCAGATGGGGAGGGGGATAAGTCTGTGTGAGGATAAAACTCATAGCTACGTACAATGCAATGAATTAAAGTAGTTTGGAGCCAAAGAATAGTTTTGAAGCCAGTTGATTTCTATGGACTCTTCAGTTTTACGTGACTTAAAGCCCACAATTGCCCTGTCCAAAAAAAAAGAAGAATGCTGGTATTTGAAATGTGCAATTTTGACATGAACAGTTTCTGAGAGGAATGTTTTGTTGGTTGGTTAATTGCAGAAAACTTCAACAATTCTGTTTAAAACAGATCAAAAGCATTTTACTCTAAAAGTCTTTTGTCAAGAACAAATGAAGTGCTCAAGTAGCCTTGCCTGGGGTAGGTCAGAGGTCAAGAAAATTGGTGTTTGTATGTTTGTACAGCTGGTCCCAGCCAAAAAAAAATTGTAAAATTGACTCAGTTAAATCGGGTCTTTGTAATTTTTTTCCCTCTTAGGTCCAGGCCACTGTGGTGGGTTTTCTGGCATCTGTGGCTGCTGTGGTGTTTGGATGGATCCCTGAGGGTCACTTCCGACTTGATCATGCTGTCCTCCTGTGTGCCAGCAGCATGGCAACAGCGTTTATAGCTTCCCTCATATTGGGTAAGACGGACATGTTAGCCTGTAATCAGAAGTGTCTTTTGTTTGGATGCTGTTTTGATTGACGACTGGGCAGTTTACCTTTCGTTTCTGGCCAGCAAAAACCAGTGGGTTCTGCCAAAGTAATACCAAACACAAAAATACACAAATGGATCTATTTTAGCTTTTAAGCTTTTGGTGCAGCTAACTGTGTTTATTGTTGAACTGAACACATTGAATTGATTAAAATGGGTAATGTTGCCCAAAACAAGGGGCTATAATTTTAAGGTCGTCACTAACATTTGGAGGAGTTAATGAATAAAACCGGTTTGGGCCAAGTGCAGGCAGATGCGACTAGTTTAGTTTGGGAACATGGTCAGGTGGACTGGTTGGACTGAAAGGTTTGTTTCCATTCTTTGACTCAATGACTATAAACACAATAAATAATTCAGGAGGAATGTTCTTGCACGGCAATGGGAAATTATGATGGAACTTACTATAGAATGGATGAATTGAGGGGACGCCCATAAATGTTGGTTAAGGGAAACTAGATAAAAATGTATGGGAGAAAGTGGTAGATGGTTATACTGATATGAAGAGATAAATAGTGAGAGAAGCCTTGCGTGGAGCATAATTATACAGCAGTGGGCTGAATGGCCTGTTCCTGCTGTAAACTTTATGCAATCCAATATAAATTACGAACCTCCGTGGGCAATTTTGGATGACAGTATTTGGGTGGCAGTGGTAAGGTTACTGGTCTAGTGATCCAATACCCCAGATTAATGTTTTAGGGACATGAGTTTAAACCCCACATGGGCAGATGGTGAAATGTGAATGCAATAAAACTCTGCAACAAACAGCTAACCTAATGATGAGTACATAACAACTGCCGATTGTTAAAAATCCATTTAGTTTACTAATGCCATTGAGGGAAAGAAATCCCTAGTTTCCTGGTCCTGCCTATTTGACTCCAGACCCATAGTAATGTGGTTGACTCTTAACTGTCTTCTAGACAATTATGAATGGACAATAAATGCTGGCTTTGCCAGCAATGTACGCATCCCATGAACATTTTTCTTAAATTCAAAATAGTGTAGAAGAGTGGATATCATACAAATTACAGACCAATAAATGTTATTTTGGATGATTTTACTGCAATCTTTTTAATTCTGCTTACTAATGTATTTTTGGGACCAAGTGTGGAAAACACATACTGCATACAATCTTCTGAAGGAGACACATATCAGACTCGAAATCTCTTATCTTTGTTTATCTCTCTCCACGGATGCTGTCAGACCCTGCCAAGTTTCTCCAGCACTTTGTTTTTAAACAACAATTTATACCATTCACATTGTTATAGGCAGCTGCCTATTTTGGGCAACAAGAGCTGACCTTTTACCATCATCATAGGAATCACCTACAAAGATGGAACTTGAATTTATGACCAATTGAGTGAGCCATCTGTTTCGGACAAGAAGTACTTCATACTTCATTATTGGAGAAAGAAATGAAGAAGGGTCTCGGCCCGAAACGTCAGCCTTCCTGCTCCTCTGATGCTGCTTGGCCTGCTGTGTTCATCCAGCTCTACACCTTGTTATCTCAGATTCTCCAGCATCTGCAGTATCTCTGAACCCACAATCTGACTGTTTGTTTGAGAAAAGGCAGAAGTAATGGACTGTAATTCTGCCTGTGGCTCAGTAACAAGTAGCTGGTGCAGACATTTGAGAAATAGCACTGCAGTGCAATCACTTCAACACCAAACCATAGGAACTGCATTTCCAATGTGTTTAGTAACTATGCAGTAGAACAACAGGCTTTACAAAATTGTCTGAAGTGCAGCTGGAGGGTGGGAAGTTCATGAATATTTAGCAAAACACACTCAATTCCAGACTTCTGCAGAGAAATGTTGAGTGCTTTTGCAGGAATATTAATCTTTTATTTTGTGATTTCTCACGCAGGGGTAATCATGGTCGGTGTAATTATTGGCTCAAGGAAAATTGGTATAAATCCTGATAATGTGGCCACTCCCATTGCTGCTAGTCTTGGGGACCTCATCACCTTGGCACTGCTCTCTGGAATCAGTTGGGGTCTTTACATACAGCTACGTAAGTAATAATATTAACAAATGCAAATGATTGCTATGGCTTTGTTTTATTTTTCATCATCTACTACAGTATTAGCTTTGTTTCTCAATTGGGATGCATTCAGCAGATGTAGATTTGGAGATCATCTGCCAGAAATAATTATGGACAGAATTGATGGGAAGAGCTGTACAGTACACAAACTACTGAGATTGGCTGGCCGTTGTAGGCTTTTATTCCCATTTTCCCTGGTCCATCGGGTTTACTGAAGATATCAATAACCCAAGGCAGTTCCAACAATGAAATATACCCAATGTTCTTTATTAAAGCAAAGTACAAGACACAAAATACATCATAAATCTCGTCCATCTAGTGATCGCAAGTGGACCTGCCAAGGATCAGACCAGAACAGGTGATCAGCCTGTTCCACCCTAACCTACAGCTGCTGATCAGGTGACCCCTTCCTGAACTAGCTAACTATGCTCTGGGCAAGCTTTCTTTAAACCCTTTTTACCATACAGACAAGCTGTGCATTAAACCTTTTATACTGTCCAGTCTCCATCAAGCGATGAATTGGACCACTGGCAAACATCTCAGACGTGTAGACCCATTGTTTCAGCCTGCTCATGCCCCACAGAACTCATCTCTTCCTACCTTGAGTCAGTCTTCTCCCCCCGGTCCAATCCCTACCCACATACATCCATGATTCATCTGACGCCTTACGCCGGTTTCAAAGCTTCCAGTTTACCAGCTCCAGCCGCCACCTCTTTACCGTGGATGTGCAATCCCTTTACACATCCATTCCCCACCAGGAGGGTCTTAGGGCTCTCCGCTACTTCCTGAAGCAAAGACCTGAGCCTGAGCCATCCCCACCCACCACCACCCTCGTCCGCTTGGCTGAGCTTGTCCTCACCCTCAACAACTTCTCTTTCAACTCCTCTCATTTTCTTCAAGTAAGAAGGGTTGCCGTGGGTACCCGTATGGGCCCTAGTTATGCCTGTCTCTTCGTGGGGTACGTGGAACATTCCTTGTTCCAGTCCTATTCCGGCCCCCACCCACAACTGTTTTTTTCTCTGATACATCGATGATATCATCGGTGCTGCTTCCCTCTCTCGTCGAGAATTGGAAAACTTCATCAATTTCGCCTCCAATTTCCACCCTGCCCTCACTTTCACCTGGTCTATCTCCGACTCCTCCCTTCCCTTCCTCGACATTTCTGTTTCCATTTCTGGGGATAGACTGGCCACTAATATCCATTAGAAACCCACTGACTCCCACAGCTACCTGGACTATACATCCTCACACCCCACTTCCTGTAAAGACTCCATCCCATTCTCTCAGTTCCTCCGTCTCCATCGCATATGTTCAGATGAGGCCAACTTCGACGAGGGATCCTCCGAAATGTCCACCTTCTTCCTCAACCGAGGATTCCCCAGCTCTGTTGTCGACAGGGCCCTCAATCGGATCCGACCCATCTCCCGCACTTCTGCCCTCACCCCTTCTCTTCCCTCTCGCAACAGCGATAGGGTTCCCCTTATCCTCACCTACCATCCCACCAGCATCCACATCCAGAAGATCATCAGACGCCATTTCCACCACCTCCAGCAAGATGCCACCACCAGACACACGTTCCCCTCCCCTCCCTTGTCCGCCTTCCGCAGGGACCGTTCCCTCCGGGACACCCTGGTCCATACTTCCTTCACCCCCAACACCTCCCCACAGCCCTACGGCATCTTCCCCTGTAACCGGCAAAGTTGCAACACCTGCACATTTACCTCCTCCCTCCCCAGTATCTGAGGGCCCAAACATACCTTCCAGATGAAGCAACACTTCACCTGCACTTCCAAGAATCTAGTCTACTGCATTCGCTGCTCACAATGTGGTCTCCTCTACGTTGGGGAAACGAAGTGTAGACTTGGCGACCACTTCGCAGAACATCTATGTTCTGTTCGCAAAAAAGACCCTGAACTACCTGTTGCCTGCCACTTCAATGCACCACCTTGCTCCCTGGCCAACATCTCCGTCTCCGGCTTGCTGCAGTGTGCCAGTGAAGCCCAGCGCAAGCTGGAGGAACAACACCTCATTTTCCACTTGGGGACCCCATAGCCCTGCGGACTCCGTACTGAGTTCAATAATTTTAGGGCCTAAACTCTCCCATGTCCCAGCCCCCTACCCCACACACCAGGCCTTGTTACCACGTAGCCTGCCACTACACACCCCCTGTTGTTAGTCACTAACAGTCCCCATTAACAACTATTCACCCTCCCAGCCTGATCGTTAGCAACTCCTTTGTCTGTCCAACTGTCTTTCTCTCTCTTTGGGCTCTATCCTATCATTTACTCCCTACCCTATCCAAACTGACGTTTTCCCAGCCACCATCAGTTCTGAGGAACGGTCACCGGACCCGAAACGTTAACTCTGTTTTCTCCTCCACAGATGCTGCCAGACCTGCTGAGCTTTTCCAGCAACTTTGTTTTTATCTCAGACATGTTGTGTTTTCCATGATAGTTTGATTAATTGTTCATTAAAACCTGTTTGCATCTCCCTGGAAAGAAGCTTATCTCACATGAACTTTGACATCAGGCCAGCTTGTTCAGCCTGCTCACCGCTTTGAGGTCTTCCAATCAACTGTATGATATTTACACAGCACAATTCTATGAGAATCTCACATTTAGCTGATAAATAGTCCATATTATATTGATTCACTGTGACTTTTTTTGAAACAAAACTTTAGCTTTTCAAAAGTTACTGTGACAGTTAGCTCATTCTGAGTTAGAACACTCAATCTAAAATACGCACATCGCTTCAGCAAAATGCAAACACATTATAACCAGTGAGTTTTCTAATCATCAGATCACCGCAATTCAATACATGTTTGCTCCTCATTTTGTTTAATTTCTTTTTTCTTCATTTTGGCTAAACAAATAAATTTTATCTTGATGTCTACACTGTAAAGGAGGGGTGGTTCACATGCTCTCCCTAGCTTAAAGAAGCAGAAATTATACATCAAACTCAACTGTACATGCTGTACTGGTACCATTCCAGAAACAGTGCCTTACAACGTTCCCTAAAAAATATTGGGAACAAAAGCTTGAAGGTGCTGGCTCATCCTCGGGACTGATTTTTACCATGGCCAGAATGTGGCTACTAACTTCCCAGTTCCAAAATAGGCAGGCCTCTTCGGTGAAGGGAAATTGGGCAGGCAGTTCAACTTTGGGGCTATCATAGCTGCCTATGGCAATACAGGCTCAATGGGCTAAAGGGCCTTTTCTGTACTGTATGATTCTATGATTAATGAACCATAAAAGCAATTAGTGTATCAACATGATAATGGATCAGGCACTTAACATTTTGTTGAACAAAAGCTTTTTATAATTCATTGATAGGATGTAGGCATCACTGACTAGGCTAATGTTTGTAAATCATTCCTAATTGCCTTTGAAAACAGTTCAGAGTCAACCACATTGCTGTGGCTCTGGAATCGCTTGTAGGTCAGACCAGGTAAGGATGGCAGATTCTGTCCCTAAAGGACCTGGTGAGCCAGATTGATTTTTATCACGATCAATGATGGGTCCATGATTACTATTACTGAGGAAAAACTGTCAATTCTAGATTTTTAACTGAATTTGTCTTCTATAATTAAATTTAATTTCCACCATCTGCCATTGGTCGAATTTCAACCCAAGTATCTAGACCATTAGGCCTCTGGCATTAATTGTCCGCTGATATTATCACTGCATCTCATCTCCCCTACAGTTTTTACATAAACTGAGACTGAAAGGCTATGAGACTATTGTGAGTGTTGCTGAAAATGTTATGATTTTATTGAAATGCTGTAACTACTTTTGTTTTATATAATTACAGAAGAACATCCTTACATCAACCCACTAGTGTGTGCTTTCTTTGTGGCTTTGACACCTCTGTGGATCATCATATCAAAGAAGAACCCAGCCACACGAGAGGTCTTATACTCCGGTTGGGAACCTGTTATTATCGCCATGACAATTAGCAGGTGTGGACTAATAAAGTTCTGTTATGAAACCTGTGGGGGAACCATAACTGAAACAACCAAAATCATCCAGAAGTGAAGAAATTACAAACAGAATTTCACTTCTTGTAACATTTACTCCCACACGCAGCAGAACCAATGCAAATTGCAAGTGAATTAACTGGCAAATGATATTGCAAATAAAATGGTAAATTTCGCATTTTGCTTGTAAAGCTCATTGTCTGTTTAAAGATATTTGTCACAGACATGTAGTAGATATGCATAGTTCTGTATTCACAGAGTAGATCAGGAACCCTATCTGACAGAAATTTCACTTCTGGGTTTCATGGGTATGATCGTTACCATCATCAAGGCACCCTCCCATAAGCCCTGTCTTCCTTAGGTTATGATTATCCTGATGGTGGTTCCTGAACTCCTACATAACCAATAATACCCCAGTTCATTGTTTGTCCCCTTCTGTTAAAAATGCAGCTATATAGCATCTCTGGGTGTTCACACAACCTTCCAGGTTTAAACTGTTTTTTGTTTAGTCTAGTCACACTGTGCCTCCAAGAGGACCTGTTATTTTTGTTACCAAACAGAAAAATTGACCTCTTCTGGAGAGAGGTTTACTACTTCACACCATTCATTATGTTCCACCTTGTGTCTCTGTCTGCTTTCTGTTTGTGTTTGCATTTGTGTGCTATGAGGTTGCCTTCACACCATATGGCATTTCTTGCTGTTACTTCATTCCTATTTGTATTGCTTCCAGGTCAAGTGTTACCAGGTCACATGGATCCCAGTATATTATGTTGTCCAAGAAAATTAGTCCACGGTGTAATTTTTCTCCTATTTCCTGTGCTCTTATGTTCTCACCAAACCAATTTACTATAGTAAAGTTGTAAATGCAGAACTCTTTTTGCCTGTTTTCTTACATTTGCTGGGTTCTGAATGGGAATTGCTGTTATTGACGTCATATTTTTGTAGTGATAAAACAACAGTTAACTTTTTACAATGTTACACTTCCATGCTATGTGGTAACCATGTGATATGATTTGTATTACAGTGTTGGTGGACTGATTTTGGATAAAACCGTATCCGATCCAAATTTTGCAGGGATCGCTGTTTTCACTCCAGTTATCAATGGTAAGGACATTTATTCGTGTGCTATGAATTTTTGTCATTATGATGCTTGAAAAAATTGCATGGATGTCAATTTTAACTTTTGGTAGAAAGAGTGATTGCTGTAAAAAGTACAGACATAGAATACAGAATGGTGTTGTCTGAGTTGTGTACAGCAGGCGGTGCCATCATCCTATTTGTACAGAGTACAGGGCAAAAGAAAGGAAGGTATTTTGGTTTCTATGTTGGAAACACCTTAACATTGTGGATTGGACAAGCTGGACTTGCACAGCAGTGATGATTCAGAAATGAGTGGGCAATACCGGAGGTTGAAAATCCCAAGTTTCTTCCACTATGTACTCTGGCATTAGAACGTGTTGTCAACATTGTGGTCCCTCAATTACCTGTGTACTTGCATTCCCAATTATCCACAGATATTTTCTTTGCAACAGTTGAAGAAACTGCAGGAGGAAGCAATTCAAATTTTTATACACCAAACAATGCCCTGTTTGTCCTATTCAGGCAAACGGACTTTGACTTGTTTAGCCAATCGAGTGAGGGGGTTTTGGGTTTGCAAAAAATGGTGTTCGGCAAAAGTTGCAATCTTGCTGAATGCATTTAGAGCTGGGATAGACATGTTTTCAGTGCCTCAGGAAATTGGGGAGATATGGAGTGGGCAGGAAAGTGGAGTTGAAGCCCAAGATCAGCCATGATTGCGTTAAATAACACAGAAGGCTCGGTGGTCTACTTCCGCTCCTATTTCTTGTGTTCTTGTTCTCTCGATCTCATGGTGTTCTTAAGTACCATCCATCCTCTGTAAATCTGGTACATTGCAATTTCACACTGTTGTTTCAAATCGAATTTAAATTTGTTCATGGGATGTGGGCATCTGGCTAGGCCAGCATTTATTGCCCATCCCAAAGGGCAGTTAGGAGTCAACCACATTGCTGTCGATCTGGAGTCACATGTAAGCCAGACCTAAACGATATTAGTGAACCAGACAGGTTTTTCCTGACAATTGACAGTGGATCCATGGTCATCATTAGACTCTTAATTCCAGATTTTATAGAATTCAAATTCCACTATGGTAGGATTTAAATTTAGTTCCCCAGGACATTACCTGGATCTCTGGATTAACAGTCCAGTGATAATACCACTAGGCCATCACCTCCCCTGTCAGCTTCTTAGCTACATGGGGCTACAATGCAACAACCAAGCCCTAAAGAACTCTTTACTTCTCAGATTGCCATAAACATTGCTATTAATAAATAAACTCAAAATATTTAATAATAGCAATTCTGAAATGAGCACTGAATTACACCTGTGCACATGGTCCAATTAAGCTCTAACTTGTTCCTCACTTGAAGCCTACATTTAACTCTGATCCTTGTTAACAAAGCTTTTGAAGGGTATTTTAGATGTGATTTTTACAAAAATTTCAACCAGAATAAGATTTATCTGAAAATCTAGATGCAGTATAGGCCTTTGTTTGACCTATATTTTTCTCCTCCTTCCTCAGGTGTTGGTGGCAACCTGGTGGCAGTGCAAGCCAGCAGAATTTCTACCTTCCTCCACCTCTCCAGTATGCCTGGCGTGGGACCGGAAAACATGCACAAAACCTGCCCAAGTCCTTGTCGTACTTTCTGTAGCTCAGGTGAGAGCCCTTTGTCAGCGGCCAACGAGCAACTTTAGATCTCTAATGCTCCCATTGAATAAGGCATGAGATGGTGCAGGTTGACTAGGTAATGTCAAGCTTGATTCTGTTGGACTACTGATGAAGTGGAGAGGGTAAATTGCCAGAGTTTTGAGGAGGAATGTTAAAATGTCTGGATTACAGCTCGATGATGCAAACAAATCCCTTGCGCTAGTAATCTGGAGAACACTGATGAGTAAAGAGGCTCATTATTTTTCCACTAAGCAACAAGTACCATGAGACTGAGTAAATTGCTCAAATAATTTCTGTTTTATTTAGCTGATAAATAGGATATAAGCTTCAAGGAGCAATTTAAGAAACTTCCATCTACTAGTCTCTTCTTATCTATACAGTCAGCAAATTGGCATGTGGTGAACTGAGAGTATAAATCAAACATTCTGTCTCTCAAAGGCACATAATTTCTATCGTTTGTAACCTCAATTCCGGTCAGAAACAAAAATCTAAATCTAAAATGTGCATTACGGATCAAATATTTAATGTTTAAGGAGTGACTAATTTGAGAGCTTGATTGTTTTTAGAAAGTGGTATCCTCTCAAAGCTGGTGGCCTCATAGGTAATCTGCCTATTTTAAACATGTTTTAAACAGCTGGTTCCTAAATTGTGGGGATGACCTGATACGGAGAACAAGCATTATTTAATTCCAGCCAGCAGGGGGCATCAATCCGTGCCTCTCATCACAATACACATGTAAAACAAACTAAAGACTGCAGGTGCTGGAAATTAGAAACAGAAACAGAAATGCCAGAAAAACTTGGCAGGTCTGGTAGCATCTGTGGAGAGAAAGCAGATTTCACAACTTTAGGGTCACTGACTTGAAATGTTAAATCTGCTTTCTCTCCACAGATACTGTCAGACCTGCTGAGTTTTCCAGCATTTCTGTTTCTGTTCCCGCTTCACATTGTCGAGAAAACAATGTGAGACTAATGCTTTTCTTTTGAAGTTCTGCTGGGCATTTTTGTGTAGAATTTTGGCAACTATGAAGCAGACTGTGTTTTGATACTATCCTCCCTCAAAATAATAACCTTGTATCAGTCAACGCTCTTTATAACAAATAGATTATGAATAATACGACCCCTTGGGTTATGAGAGAGGAACACAAGATCTGCAGCAGTGAGCTTTACGAACTGTGACACTATTGTGGAAGAACTAATTCAGAGCAATCACTCCAGCCTTAACTTGTATTCAGTCTAAATAAAAGTTTTGCTAGTATGATAATCCCACGAAGATCAATAAACCAGAATTGAATTTACTGACTAATGGGCTCCAACAAGACAACCAATTGACAAGATTACACTTTTCATAACAAAATCAAGATTACTGGAAAATCCCAGCAGGTCTGACAGCATCTGTGGAGAGAAAGCAGAAATAATGTTTTGGGTCCAATGACCCTCCTTCAGAATTCAAGTGAAGAAGGGTCACTGGACCCAAAACATTAACTGCTTTCTCTCCACAAATGCTGCCAGACATACAACGTAGAACAGTACAGCACAGTACAGGCCCTTCAGCCCACGATGTTGTGCCGACGTATTATCCTACGAAGATCAATCTACCCTGCATACCCTACATGTTACTATCATCCATGTGCCTATCCAAGAGTCGCTTAAAAGTCTGTAAAGTATCTGACTCCACTACCACTGCTGGCAGCGCATTCCACACGCCCACCACTCTGTGTGTGAAGATCCTACCTCTAACATCTCCCCTATACCTTCCTCCAATCACCTTAAAATTATGCCCCCTCGTAATAGTAAATAGTAAAGACCTGCTGAATTTTTCCAGCAATTTCTGATTTTGTTTGTGATTTCCAGTGTCTGCAGTTATTTGCGTTTTTATTTTTGTTCACTCTTCATAATTCTTATTTTAAAAAAGACAAAAACCAGCATAAACAATGAATTAATGGCAAAACATGGATGTTATAAGTTATGAGCAGATATAACAAAAATGGGTCTGGAAACTTTATCAGGTAGTTCATTCAACACATATAGCACCAGTCACAGTATCCTTCAAAACCCTGTCTTCGTCAGCTAGAGTTTTCATTTCCTTTCTTACACACCGGATTTAGCCTTGGATCCTCCTTCAGTATAACCTCCCAACCAACCTGAGTGAGCAAGCAGGGTTTTCACCAAACAACGCACTTGTGTAGAGCCCCCTCCATTATGCTTTCGGTGATTATGATGGTGTGATATCACAGTTCTGTGGACACAGTGTAACCAGCTCTAGTTGAACAGTCCCTTCAAAACAATGACAATAATTTTACTTTTTTCATCCCTGCTTTTGGGTCCAGCCTGCAGGATTTCTTCTTCAAACTACCCTATACTCATATCACCACAGCTTGTCTCCACTAAGCCGTATTTTGTAGCATTTCATTTTGTTTGGTTTGAACTGGTCCTCTAGCTGGAATGATTTATATATAAATGCTAAAATGGACCCACGCACGCACCCAGGGCCAATTATGTCATTTGGCTGTGATATGGTGTCTGTGCTCAGGCATGAACATTGCTGCACTTGGTGGTATTCGCAATAAACACTGAGGTTGTTGACTTGCTCGCCGAACTGGCTTGTTTTTGTTCAGACGTTTCATCACCATGCTAGGTGACATCATCAGTGGAGACTCCGACGAAATTATGTTATTCTACTCCGCTTGGAGTTTATACTGTCTGCTCCGTTATGGTGAGTAGTGTCATTTCCGGTTTTGATCTGTATGGGTTTATATATGGGGTCCAATTCTATGTTTGTTGATTGAAGAATGGGTGGAGAACCATGCCTCTAGGAATTCCCATGCGTGTCTATGTTTGGCTTGGGCTACTTTGGTTACTTTTGTCCCAGTTAAACTGATGGCGTTCGTTGTCTAAATTTACAAATATTAAGGAGAGTTCATCATGCCGTTTTGCCTTTAGCTGATGTTTGTGTATTCTGATGGCTAGTTTCCTTCCTGTCTGTCCAATGTAATGTTTGTGGCAGTCATTACATGGTATCTTGTAAACTACGTTCGTTCTGCATGTTGTGGGATACAACAGGAACATATCGGAACTGACGAGAAAACTCCGAAGACCATTGGGAATCATGGTGGCCCACAAGCCCCCAGCCACTCTACGACAAACACTTACAAGACCCCATTGCCACAACGTGCAGAACCAATGTAGTTTACAAAATACCATTCAACAAGTGCCATAAACATCATATCGGACAGACGGGAAGGAAACTAGCCATCAGAATACATGAACATCAACTAGCAGCAAAACGACATGATGAACTCTCCTTAATATCTGTGCATTCAGACAACGAAGGCCATCTGTTTAACTGGGACAAAGTAACCAAAGTAGCCCAAGCCAAACATGGACACTCATGGGAATTCCTAGAGGCCTAGTTCTCCACCCATTCTTCAATCAACAAACATATAGAATTGGACCCCATATATAAACCTATACAGATCAAAACTGGAAATAACACTGCTCACCATAACGGACCAAACAATATAAATTCCAAGCAGAGTAGAATAATATCGCTTCATCGGAGGCTGCACTGATGATGTCACCTAGCATGGTGACGAAACGTCTGAACGAAAACAAGCCAGCTCAGCGAGCAAGTCAACAACCTCATCAACAACCTCATCCACAACCCGAGCTACAGATCTTTGCCAAAACTTTAAACAATAACCACTGTCCTCTCTAGCATGCTGAGATGGCAGCCACTTTCCCTGAAATCATAACCCGAATCTCAGTTAGGGCTTGTTTTTATTTAAATAAAAATAAGTTTTGCAGTGCACCCAACTAAATATTTGACATGTCATCTGCACAGACAACAGGTCATATAAACTCCCTATTGGCTCCTCAAAGTACCATTAGCCAGAATGGAACCTTAAAATACGCATCTCACTAAAGGTGGATAAATAATAAGTTCAATTCAGTCCATGATCCTGAAGGGAAATGAGTAAATGGCAGAAAATTGAATAAATTGGTCAGGTGCTTTCTTTTACAAAGCCCTTTTACACTTGGCAGCAAGTTCCAGGAAGCCAACAAAATTGTGCAAACAATTTCCTCCGAGCTTTTGTATGCCAATATTCCTTTACTGATGTATGTACACTGGAAACCTCATTTACCACATAGAAAAGGTATTCAACACTTTTTTTTTAAAAAAAATCACTCAACTAGCCCATAAAATTGTTAATTTATATGAAACATTTCCCTCTGATATTCTTTTTCTGTCTAGAACTTGATTTGGCAATTGTCCCTTTGGGACCTTGCAACAGCAAAACAATGTATTTGTGAATTGCAGTCTTAGTGTGTGCTTTTGTATTGTGAACCTTGCTATCTGTGAATCACAGGATTTATATTCATGTAATATGCAGGTGTTCTGTGTTAAGCAGATATGATTAAATTTGATGGATTTAAATCAGTAGTAATGAAAATTGGACACCTTCTGAATGGGTGGCTGGTTGATTGAATCAGCTTTTATACCCAGGCTGAACATCGCAATCAAAGATTTTGTACCTGTATGAATAATTTAGTGGGGTGGTGAACATTTTGAGTGGAGAAGAATGAACAAATCAATTGAAGTACCACTTAAGAATTACTAATTATCTGCTTGGTGGGCCTGTATGTATATATTTAAATGTATTTAGGTAGCGGGAAGAACATAATTATCTACATCTTGCACAACTTTTAAAAGGATCTGGGACTATATACTCATTGGAGTTCAGAACGATGAAGGGGGATCTAATTGAAACTTTCTGAATACTGAAGGGCCTGGACAAAGTGGATGTTGCTAAGATGCTTCCATTGTTAGGATAGTCTAGGACCCAAGGACACAGCCTTAGAGTAAAGGGAAGACTTTTTAGAACGGAGATAAGGAGAAACTTCTTCAGCCAGAGAGTGGTGAATCTATGGAATTCACTGCCACAAAAGGCTGTGGAGACCAGGTCATTGAGTACATTTAAGACTGAGATAGATAAGTTCTTGACTATCAAGGGTTATGGGGAGAAAGCAGGAAAATGTGGTTGAGGAACTTATCAGCCATGATTGAATGGCGGAGCAGACTCGATTGGGCCAAATGGCCTAATTTCTGCTCCTATGTCTTATGGTAGGTGTTTTGTAATATAGATGTCTCTAAATCTTGTATCTTTCAACATCAGTAAAGTATATATGCTTTTACTTTACACTTGGGTTGTAGCAGATCTCTAGTAAAATTCAATCTTGCATGGAAATGCTTTGGCTGTTATGAACAGTGACATGAGATATACTAAACCTCTAAAAGTAACCAGTGTTCTAACTTCCTAAGAATGCAATCTCAGTTTGTGATTTAAATCATGTGAAACATATTTTTCTTTTTTATGTCAAGACAAATTATTCCTTCAATCCCCATTATTTTGTATACTAGCACAGGAACTCAAATGCAAATAATATTGGAACACCAAGTTCTCTGAACGTTATGGTATTCACAAATTACTGGTTTACACAGTACAAATGGATAGAACAAAATCATATTTCATCACATTTTAGTGTGAAAGTTATCCTTTACTCTAACACAAAATAATCTTAAAACCAAATGAAGAGTTTAGCATATAAAATAATGGTGTTTTCAGAAATAATTATTCACACAAACCAAAAGAACAAAATTAGAATCTTGTGGTTTTATTCTCAAGTACTTAGGATCACATACTTTGCCTACATTTAACAAATATTTATTCCCTAGACAGATCACAACATAAAGTTAGAAGTCTGGTCCAGCATTACAACAAATATTTCATAACCCATTTAAGCCTGTTTTAAATCGAGAACTCCCAAAATGAAAATAATACTGATCAGAGGAAGCCTGTCTCTAAACTGTATTTCCTGCTGTGCCAGTGACCTTTATCATCAGCCACCCTTGAGTATTAGATTAGCAATTGGGACTGAATAGAGGCAACTCTGTACTCGGGACACAAGCTTAATTGGAATTACTCCAGCTTTTTACACATTTCTGGTCACAGGAGGCTTATCGGTAAATTTAGTTTAAGATCTTAAAACTTAAAGGTAATATTCTCTCTGTGTCACCATAGCCCTTTTGAACTTAAATTAGCATCCAATTTTGTTCAGTAGGACTTCGGTGAGTTCCTTTTCAACTTTAAGTGCATTATATAAATATTGTTGAAAAGGCTTAAAGCATTTTAAATACTTCTGTCTATTTGGGGCAGATTCAAACTGATCCATTATGGTGGATACCACATGTTATTCTAGTCCAGTGGGCAGTAAGGAGAAATTATTTCTCAAGCCTCTTCAGGCAACCTCAATTAGCATTTCAGATCCAGGTTATCAAAATGTTATATATCACGTTGTTGCTATTTCAATGGACTTAAGACTTGTTGTGCCTATAGAAGTGAGCAAGGGCCATTCTCACATATTACATGTCACTCCCTACCTGCACTCACTCATCACCATCCCACCTACCTTCCCCAGTCCCACCCCTCCCCTCTGTCTTTATTTCTCAGCTCCTTCTTCCTCCCCATTTCTGAAGTAGGGTCCCAACCCGAAACATCAACTTTTCTGCTCCTCTGATGCCGCCTGAACATTTATGCTTGTGATTTACGCCTGGTCAAATTATCCTGTAAAATACCGTTATTTAAATGCTGAATTTTTTCCTTTAGTCCACGACAAGAATATCCAAGAATTAATGATAATTGTTGATAGAATGTTTCACCACTTGTATAAGACCCAATTAAATTAAGGGCTTCCTAATTGGAAATGATGCTATTCAGAGAAAGAGTTAAACTCCCTAAACACTGCAAATCCTGCTGTATGGCCTGCCTTATGTCTGCGCATTTTTGTGTTATTTATGATTTGCTTTATCAGTCCAGAATTAAAACTGTAGTGTTTAATCATTTCAGATGGCTGTAAAAAGAATGTTTTGCATTTGTTTATTCTTTTGCAGATTTGAATTCGAGATCAGCTCGGGTCTTGTTCCTTCTAGTTGTCCCTGGACACCTTGTCTTTCTATACACTATTAACTCAATGCAGGGGGGACACACAACACTAACGCCAATATTTATTGTGTTCTACATGATGGCTGCTTTATTGCAAGTACGTATCTCTTTTCAAAGTTTCAAACTTTACTGTAGGGTTTTAGCAATTACAAACTTTTGAAAAATACTGCTTAGTTATTCTGAGCTTCATCAGAAACTATTAAAAACTGAACCCAATCATGACCCGGTTGAGAGTTAACAAATATTAGAAAGTGAATTCTCCCATTTGATAGATTCAAGAGTTCTCAGTCTGACAGGTGCATGTACAAGTTGCAAGTAAAGATAAAGGTCTTCGTCAAAGAGAAGAGTCCACTTGGGTCACTTTGTTTAGTCTCCAATTCTACTTGTTTATTTTTAGAGCATGGTATTCCAAGCGCTTAAGGAAAGGGAACAAGTCCGACTGCACATCACACATGACTGTTTAGGAAAAAACAAATCAAAGATGTTATGACACTTCAATGAAAATTGTTCAGAACTTGAAGAGAATATTAGACATTACAATAAAATGTGCATCAAAGTAGATGAGCTCAGAAGGTGCTACAATTTAGTTTTTGATCATTATCTAATTTGTGTAGAGAGTGGGATGCAGAGTCCTTGGTCAACACTGTTTATGGGAACACTGAAGAAAGTTCTTGCTGTTGTTGTCGTAGACACTCCAGGAATATTGACTAAATATTTGTCCCTCCCTCAAACATGCTTAATATGAAGCTCAGGTAAACATTCATCCAAAGGATCAATCTTCCCTCAAAAACAAAACAATCACTGCATCTGTGACTGGTTCCTGTAAATATAGAGATAACAAGGTGTAGAGCTGGATGAACACAGCAGGCCAAGCAGCATCAGAGGAGCAGGAAAGCTGACTTTTCAGGCCTAGACCCTTCTTCAGACCCTACTCCTGTAAATATATGTAACTTCTAGTCAAGTGCGATGTAAATGTGGTGGATACGAAATAAGAATATAGTAGTATACTCTTTCTGTTTCGAGATTAATAATCCAGAGACCTGAATAAATGATCTAGAGATAAGTTCAAACCCAACCATAGTACCCTGGGAATTTTAAATTCACTTAGTTCATTAAAATCTGGAATAAAAAGCTAGCATCAGTACTAATGTTAAAAACCCATCTTGTTCACTGATAAGACCATAAGCTATAGGAGCAGAAATTAGGCCATTCGGCCCACCGAGTCTCCTCCGCCATTCAGTCATGGCTGATAAGTTCCTCAACCCCATTCTGCTGCTTTCTCCCCATAACCCTTGATCTCATTGATAATCAAGAACCTATCTATCTTAGTCTTAAATGTACTCAATGACCTGGCCTCCTCCACTTTCTGTGGCAGTGAATTCCATAGATTCACCACTCTCTGGCTGAAGAAGTTTCTTCTAAGGGAAATCTTCCATCTCTGCCCAGTCTGGTGAACATGTGACACAATAACTGAAGACATTTGACTGACTCATAACTGCCCTTTGGCTCAGCAACCCACCTGAGTTGTATTCAAGGAGGCAGCTCAACACAACCATCTCAAGGACATCTAGGAATGGGTGATGAATACTGGCCTTGCTTCTAATAAATGAATAAAATTGAGATGTTTAAGTGTTTTTGAATGAATTCTGAGCAATAATGGTCTGATGGGACAGGATTTATGATTTTGTACTGCATTACAGGTGCTAATTCTGCTCTATGTTGCCGATTGGATGATTCATTGGATGTGGGGGCGGGGAATGGATCCAGATAACTTCTCAATCCCTTACCTGACGGCTCTGGGCGACCTCCTGGGAACAGGGTTCCTGGCACTCAGCTTCCACATTCTCTGGCTGATCGGTGATCGAGATGCAGACGTCGGTGACTAGAATGAAGGTTCCTCATAACATGGGGAGTAAAATCATCAAGTGCAATTCAATGAAGGAGACTTTAATGAAATTTTATGCAATGGAGACTGTATCATGTGCAGCCCATGTGCAGCAACCAATGGAGATACATGTATACACTATAAATACTGTTTAATTAGGAGATATCAAGTTGGAATCCCCACCTGTGTGTTAACTGGATTCTGCAGCATGGCTACATATGGTAAACTGGATACTAACTTCACAACTGAAAGCTGCTAATTCGAATTGAAGGTGGTTATTTTTTTTGGACTCCAGAGATGCAAACTGTTAATTGGACTTTTAAAAAGTATATCCTTATTTCCTAAATGCAAAGAACAATCTTCCTGAGGCATCTTGTTGTCTCAGTTGGTCATCCATGAGGGGGTTTTCTGGAATAACAAGGTGGGATGTATATTTTACACTTTTTTTAAGGGATAATTACGAATTCACTGAGCATGGTCAATGTTGGGGGTGCATTGTGCAAGTGTGCTTCATCTACATTGCTGGATGTGGAAGAAGTCTATAATATATCGAGCTTATTTATTTATATATAATATAATATAAAATATATAACATATGTTATATACAATATAGTATATTATATATAAGCTATATATAATGTTATGTATATATAATGTGCATGTATATATACATTTTCATTGTCTGTTTGTTAGAAGCTGCCAGATCCAAAGCAGGTAACACTTAGAATCAATTTGATGCTCCTGATGAATTATTTAACCCAAGTCCACATCTGACCAGCTGCCCAACAAGGACCTAGTGTTGGGGTAGATGGGAAACTCCACGAATGCTTAAAATCCGATGTCTGGCTTTACGTGGTTAAGTGTAAAATTTGTCTTTTGAAAGGCACCCAACCCATTGATGCTAAAGCAGAAAGTTACCAGCTGCAGCTGGCTGGTTAATCCAGGCCCAGGATTTTGGGGAGAGGAAACATGGCTGACTGAAATGAGTTAAGCTGTATTGTTCAGTTGCAAAATGGTTTGACTTCCTTTGTCATCAAGATTTAATATACACCCTACCAGCCAGTGTGTTGATCTAAATGTTGAATTTTAGGATATATTACATTTTTATTGTAAAATTACTTTGAACATTGGTAAATTAAACCAATAAGTGCCAGCATAGTGTTAACATGCCAGTTTGACTGACTCTGAAGCCAGAGTTATCACTGATAATTCTGAAGAGAATTGTGCTGTTATCACAGTAGCTGCTTTCAATGAGTGTCCTGTCATACAGCATTTCTATTGATTTAAATTATTTAATTTTTGTTGTGCTCAAGAGTTCACAATTGGTCTCAGAGGCCTTTGATTTTAAATAGAATAGTATCCCTAGTTCTACAACTATTCCCCTCTTTCTTGTCCTTGCTCATTGACAGTGCTATTTCTTAATCTTTTATTTGATTATTTTGAACAAGATGGTAGAATGGTTTAGTACTGATATCATCTGTGACCCCCACCAGTTCTTTGTCCTCTGTTGATGTGCAGGGTGTGTTTTTTCTACCCCCCCACCCCAATCCCCTTTAGTCACTTGCACTGCTAGAGTCTCCCCTCCTGGTGGACCTGAAACCAAAACGTAGACTGTTTCCAAAATATTGTGCTTAAGCTCTTAAAATGTTTAAAGATATGTAAACCTTTACCCAAAATTGCACCACAGTTTCCATGTAATTACATTAAAGTGACCACAATCCCGATTTAAAATGAATTCAAGTTAATCCAACTAAATGTTAAAGTACTTCGTATAATGTCATTAAAATCTTTCCTGTGGATATGCCTTATTGATGTGTGGATGCATATATAGAGTATAAGCATAAGCCAGAACTGCCTGTGCTTGATGTTGGTATAAATGTGCTCGTGAAGCTGTGTGTGCGTCACATCCAATTGATGGAGGGTTATCACAGCCTTCCTGAAAACCTCAATGCATTAATTGCTTAGATGTCAACTTTTGTTGTAGTTCACCTTTTTAGGAAAATACCAGATGACTCTTAATTACTGCTACACACAAAGTTATGGACCATAAGAATCTACAATATCCATTTGGTGAATTTTTTTATATTATCCACAGTTCCTGATTAATCTAGACACTTTTTTAAAGAAAGGATATGTCAAATCATAATAGTTACCTTCCTGTTTTCTGAAGGAAATTACATTTATTCTGAAAATTCAAATGTTTTCTTTTGGTATTTAAAAAATCACAATTATGTCCCTGGGCATCAGTTTCCCCAATAAGTGATTCTACTGAGGAGTGCTAACAATATATAAGTACTTTAACAATTGTTAAATCTGTTTGAAAGAATTGTATCTATTAAATGAATGCACACTGTATAAAATGAACAAATGGAGGATATAGTTGTATTTTTGCAGACCAGGACACATATTTTAAAATTTTTAGGCTTTCCTCTTTTTTTACTGCTGTGTTAAAACAAGAGAAAATTGCCAACTTAATTGTGATTCTTCTGTTCGTTGGTGACAGCTGACTAATCTGGGATGAAGAAAATCAGGACAATTGTACTGAATCTGCTAGTTTGCCACTGTTACGGTCAATTAGACCGACAAAAAAAAAGTGTATTCAGTGCAATCATTCAGTCAGTCTTAAAACTAACACCCCACAGGGAAACATGTTACATTTTGTTATCAGTGTTTGTCGTGTGTTCTGATTTTTGTTTTTTGTCTGTGCTCTTGTCACTTTTTTTTTCCTGTGGGATGAAATCTATAAACGTATGACCGAATCAGAATATTTGTACTGAGAGCAAACTACATTTGTGTTGTCCTAATTTCATTCTTGTACTGTGAATGGAATTTCTTCCAGATCCAGCCCTGTCGTGCTCAGTATCCTGAGCCAGTTTCCTGCACAGTATAGCCAAAATTAATATTTATATTCTAAATTGCCAAGATGTCGTGAACGTTTTGGGAGTCTGTATTTGATAAAAATAAAATGTCGTACAATGGTGAACTTTTTTTATTTTTAATTTGTCTTTTTTATTCCTCTGCTACTTTTGATTATGGTGCCTAGACGCAACAGTTATTACAACAACTTCTGGAGTGTCATGGCATTGAAAAATCACAATGTGTAAACCACTCAAATGTATTTTGTATCATCACTGGGAGGTCCAAGCATAATTTGTTTTAGGTTTTAAAATTCTCATGGAGATGCGTGTTGGAATTCATGCAGTTTCTTTCACCATGCAATTTCCCTCTATCTCTTTTTAAAAATGATATCCAATTGAATATGCTTGTCAAATCTTGTATTCTGTTGCTGTCCAACAATATACATCTTCCAGCAAGACTCGAGGGAGGGTAATCATGTACAGAAACCTGGCTGAAATCTTCTCACTTCTATCCTCGATAATACCAGTTGCAGCATCCTTCTTGTTAGCATAATTGAGTTGGCACAGGTTGGACATTGAACATGGGCATTCCAGTTTGAAAAACACAATGCTGCACTTGACAACAAGTATCCAACTTATGCCACTGGGGAAACAGCTTCTATTGTCTTGGAAATCTCATCAGTACTGTGGGGGTGGGGGATAGTCAGGAACAGGAAACAAAGCAAACAATGGTTGCGACTTTGATAGGAGTACGATTTCAAGAGTGGTAGAAAGCAGCGAGGGTATCGTTTGTTTCCCGTTGTTAAACATATACTACAATTTCAAGGAGTTTGAAATACAACGTGGATAAAACTGCACATTTGTTTTGGAGATCAGCTTTACATATGAGAGTTGCTCATTTCAGTCTGTCTCACTAAACAGATGGGCATAGTGAATAATTTACAAAAAGCACAAATTGATTAATGAGTCCTGATTGCTATGTAGCAATAAGAACTATTCCAATCAGAACATCATTGGTACCCTTTGGTATCACTAATGTGCTGTGGCACCATACATCTGTAGGGTCTAATTTTCTAAAGAATCCATAGAATCCCTACCGTGTGGAAACAGACCCTTCAGCCCAACAAGTCCACACTGACCCTTGGAGTATCCCACCCAGACCCATCCCCCTATAACCCACCTAATCTACACAACCCTGAACACTATGGGAAATTTAACATGGCCATATGGGGTCAGTTAACTCTGTGACTGGATAGCTGGTTTGCGATGCAGAGTGACGCCAACAGACTGGTTCAATTCCAATATCGGCTGAGGTTACCATGAAGGCCAACCTTCTCAATTTCTCCCTTCACTTGAAGTGTGGTGAACAAAGGGTTACACTCACCACCAGTCATCTCTCCATTGAGACAGCAGCTTTATAGTCTTCTGGGACTACAGTGACTTTACCTTACCTTTAGAGATACTCACATCTCAGTGTAGGGCAAACCTATTTCCACTTTAAAATTCCTTGTTCAGGTGGCATTGCTTTAGTTAGTTTCTGGAGTTTTCCTCTTACTGACTTATAAATACTTTAATAGCAAACACATATCCTCATCTTCCAGCAGTTTTCTGCCTTGTCTTATAGCTTAGCACTTCAGCTTCCACTGTCTTGTATCCACAGACACAAACGCTTTGACTTTCTGGCTGCTTTCTCTTGCACAATTCAGGACTGTTTTGGAGATTGCTAAACTAACACCACCTTTTCTCTCTAACTGAACCTGCACACGTCCTGACCTTCCGGATGGTGGGTCATTCTGTGATAATTGACTCTTGACACTAGGCAACTGCAGTGTTTTTTCTTTCCTGACCATTTTTCCTAATAATTTCCTATTATACCTTAAGTTCCACTCCAAGACTATACACTCTCATTAAAAATGCCTACATTAACAAACTTCAAATACCTCTGTGCCATTCCAAACAAATCTAAAATGAAACTAAAACCATGACTCCTTTTAACACATAATATAGAAATACAAATCAAAGTTATACATGATTATTCTTTTTTAGAATGTAAGTTTTCAAATATTAACATGAATCTTCATCACATTTTAGATAATTGAAACTGAAAGAAGTGCTGATCAGATTGGAATTCATTTTTCTAGAGGAAAGAAGGTTAAGAGATGCCGTGATGGATATATTTTAGAATGATGAGAAAGCTTAATGGGATAGGAAAAAAGTAATGTGCATTTATTCATCACCTTTAAAATAATAAAATGTTCCAAAGTGCTTTACAGTAGTTTTATCAAAAAACATTTCACAGTTACATATGAGCAGATGTATTACTGTTAGGGCTGAATTCCAAAGGTGCGTGATAATCCTTGACATCAAGGAGCCCTAGCAAAACTAGAATCAATGGGTGTCCGGAGGCAAACTCTGTTGGTTGGAGTCATGCCTGGCACAGAGGAAGATGGTTGTGATTATTGGAGGTTAGTTATCTCCACTCCAGAACATCTCTGCAGAAGTTCTTTAGAGTAGTGACCTAGGCCCAACTATCTTCAGATACTTCATTAATGGCCTTCCCTCCATCATAAGGTCAGAAGTTGGGGATGTACACTCATGATTGCACAATATTCGGCACCATTCGTGAGACCTCAGATACTGAAGCGGTCCATTTTCAAATGCCATTCAGGCAGTGACCAGGTTTGGGTTGAAAAGTGGCAAGTAACATTCATGCCACACAAATACCAGACAATGACCATCTCCATTAAGAGGCCATCTAAACACCACTCCTTGACATTCAAGGATGTTACCATCACGGCATTTCCCATTATCAACATCCTGGATTACCACTGACCAGAAACTCAACTGGACTCGCCGTATAAGAGTCACAGAGTGGCACAGCAGAATAACAGACCCTTCAGCCCAACTTCTCTCCCTGCTACCAACCCGCCCAGAAGCGGTGCATTTTGGGAGTTGTAGTCCTCCCGGAGTGGGTGCGGCACCTCCGCGCCCCGCCTCGCGGGCGGCGAACTACGGTTCCCAGAGTGCACCGCCCGCGTCCGGCACCACGTGACCGCGCCCTCGGTGCGGGCGGAAAATTTACAACGCGTCCCGTGAAACAAAAACCAAACTTACGAGGGCATCGCAACGCTATTCATTCCCCCCCGCCTCCCCCTTACCCCACCCGGGGTGTAAGGACGGTAAATTAAGTGGCGGAGGTGGTGTTTAAAATAAAGGGGGAGGGGATGTTGTCTCCAGGGCCTCAGGGAGGATGTTTATGACGAGCTCCAGTTGCTGCATCTTCCCTCAGTCAGTCAGTGTTCTTTCCTCAGCATGGCGAATGACTACCTGTTCAAGGTGCTGGTCATTGGGGACTGCACGGTGGGTAAGACCTCCCTGGTGCAGCGTTATGCCAACGACAGCTTCAGTAAGAACTACAAATCCACCGTGGGAGGTAAGTGTAAGTGTGTGTATGTATGTGAGAGACTTTCTTTGTGTTGTTTGCTGCAATAAGGTGGAGGGATGAGTTACGTAACTTCCAAACTTGTTTTTATGACTTGGAAGTTGAGCCAGCCAGAGTTGGTGGTGTTATTTTTTTTTGGTGGGGGGTGGCAGATTTTTAAAATAGTCTTGGCAGGAATTGGAGTGAAAAACAAAACTATAGAGAAGTACTGCGGTCGCTGCAAAGTTGAAATAAAAACGGATGTATTATCTGGAAAAACTCATCGGGTCTTAGCGCCCGGTGGACAGAGAAGCACTTGCCCTTTCGGGTCCAATATGAATTCTGAAGAAGGGTCACTGGACTCGAAACTTTACTCTGCCCTCTCTCCACAGATGCTGCCAGACCTGCTGAGTTTCTCCCTTTCAGTACCGGTATGATTATATAATGTAATGCAGAACAAAACTATTCAGTCCATTGTCTGTGTTTATTGGCCTATCAAATTAGAGAGACAGCACTACTCCTTCCCTGTAATTTTTGCTTACTTTCAATTTCCTTTTATTTGTTACCATTAATCTAATCCTGCCTTCCATTTTAAACAGTGCATTCCAGACTATGATAAAACAAATGCAACTTCTAAATCTCTTCTCAGGTTGTTGGCCTTCCTGCCAGTGGAAATTGTTTTTAACTTAATTATACTAGTGCTCATTTGACATTTTGAACCTTGAGTTAGTCATGTGATATTAGTTAATTAGAATATAAAATTTACTGTCCTTTTTTAAAGACAGTCAGCTTTGAATTAGGTGCATATAAGTTTAAAGTGCAGATGGAATGCTTTAAAAAAAAATCACTTTAATGTCTACATTAACAACAAAAGAAAATAATTTTCAGATATCAATGAAATTAAAAGTTTTAAACAATTTCCCACTAATTTTCTTGTACCTTGACTTGGGATTTGATAAAATGATTCCCTTTCTTCCCACACCCTTTCTCATTCCTGTTCTCAGCTGAGCCAAGGGGTTTGAACAAACCCATCATCTTGCAAATCTTGAGCTTTTATAATTGTAGTTTCATGAGATTGATTATTAATAAACCGCTTGAGTTACACTCAAATGTTTTATAAAAATTCCTGAAGTGAAAGTCCACAAACATGATAAAAGGACAAGTGACACCACTGCTTCTAAAGAGGTTGCATGCAAATCTCTGCTTTGCAAACTAACCTTTTTTCCTTGGGTTTTCTGTTTTTAGTTTTAGAATTGAAATGCCCAGTCTGTTCTTATTGTTAACCTGCACTCATTTTTCTCAAAAATAAGAGCATGGCTTTGTGATCAGTATATTGATTTGCTGTGTATCTTTTATAGTACTGTATGACTTAAAAGCAACTTGTTCTGAATTCTTTACAAGTTTAACCTGTGCTGGAGTAATGAAGCATTTTAACCATGAGAGGTCCAGATTGAATGGCAAACCACACAATAACCTATGAGTAAGCAGTTGTTATCTACCATGGAAACGTATTGTAGTGCAATATACCAAGTGTGTAACTGAGACGGAAATTACTTGTCTGTGTGACTAGTTGGAGGTTTTTAGGAATGTGAGCAATGTTTCAGCTGAGTATTAGTGAGCTGAATTAAGTTGCTAATGACTGGAATTACACTTTTTTTTACACAATATGGGCAGAGCTATGTATGAGGAAATGGTTTTGAAGATTGTTAAGATTTGACACTTTTTTTTCAGCAGGGAAAATGCGTGGAAGAGAAGCTTTAATTGAAGTTGAGCAAAATATTGACCCCATAAAGACTAATTATTTTGTTTTCAGTTATAAGGGCCATGATTCTCCAACAGGTATATATTTTGTTTTTAAAACCTGCTTAATACAACTAAAGGAAGCTGGGGATTGGAAGTGAAATCAGACCAAATTCTTAAATTGCATTTGAGGATGTGGTTGACAGACAGTTTCACAAAATTATCATGTCTGATAACTGAAAAGATGAGATTTGCAATTTGGAGAAGCAGTTGAATTGATTGGAAAGACCAGTGGGTTAATTTGAAAGCCTATGTACTGCACAATCAAATCTTAAGTTGACAATTTCTTAATAAGAGTAATCCTATTTTGTAAGAAGCTTTAGATTGACTCTTAACAAACCATGGTTTTGTAATTCATTTGTGGTTGACAAGTTTTTGTTCTGTTGCCTGACTAATGACCTGTAGATCTTTTTTTTTATTTTTCCCCAGAAACAGAAGTAGTTCCAGTTGTATCAAAAGCACAGTAGCATCTCTAAGTCATTTTAACAAGAGTATTTAAAACTGAATAAACACTGTCATCCTGAATGTGGTAGCTTAATATTTGTTCTTTAATTTTTTGTGAGAATGCAGCAGTAATTGCCACTGCTTGGTTGTTTTTAGAAAAACTTACTGCACATGGGCTGTGTTTTTAAAATCGACCTGCCTCTGCTTTTTTTTCTTTCACCCAATAAGGCACTTAAGGTTATGTAATGGATACTTCTGCCAATTTTTAATTCCCCTCCGTGAGAATGAAAGAATGCCTGAGTAAGGCATGGGCATTGCACTGAATTAAAATTGAGATGGAAACTATTGCGTCCTTTTTTTAATGGAAAGAAAAATAAGCAGACTTCCGAATGAGCGCGAACGCTTTTTTGACCTGTTCTGTGCTGAGCAGGTGACTTTGTTCTGTTCATGTGCTGAAGATTAAAGTTTGAGCCTCAAATGTTACTACTTGTGTGGAAATGCATTTGATATACACTTCAAAGTGGAGTTTGTGTCAGAAGTACGATGGGGTGTTCAGTCGTTAATTTCAGTATGTCACCAATTACCTTAGCTAACTGCACCTCTTGCCTTTGTTATGGACCAGACCCCCTCAAAATATTAAGAAGATTCAAAGTTTTAGCAAAGATCTGTACCTCGGGTTGTGGATGAGGTTGTTGACTTGCTCACCGAGCTGGCTTGTTCCCATTGAGACATTTTGTCACCATGCTAAGTAACGGCATCAGTGGAGCCTCCAGTGAAGTGGTGTTATTCTACTCCGCTTGGAATTTATACTGTTTTGTCCGTTGCAGTGAGTAGTGTCATTTCCGGTTTTGATCTGTATGGGCTTGTACGTAGCGTCAAATTCTATATGTTTGTTGATTTGCATTACCATGCCTCTCGGAATTCCGGAGCTGACAACAAGACTCCTAAGACCACTAGGAGTCATGGTGGCCCACAGCCACTCTACTGCAAACACTTACAAGGATTAAAGACCCCATTCCCCCAACGTGCAGGACCAACACGGTTTACAAAATACTATGCAACAAGTGCCACAAACATTACATTGGACAGACAAGAAGGAAACTAGCCATCAGAATACATGAACATCAACTAGCAGCAAAACGGCACGATGAACTCTCCTTTAATATTGGTACACTCAAACAATGAAGGCCATCAGTTTAACTGGAACAATGTAACCATAGTAACCCAAGCCAAACATAGACAATCACAGGAATTTCTAGAGGCATGGTAATGCAATCAACAAACATAGAATTTGACGCTACATACAAGCCCATACAGATCAAAACCGGAAATGACACTACTCGCCATAACAGACCAAACAATGTAAATTCCAAGCAGAGTAGAATAACATCGCTTCATCAGAAGCTCCACTGATGTCACCTAGCATGGTGGCAAAACGTCTGAACGAGAGCGAGCAAGTCAACAACCTCATTTTAAGAAGGTAGCCTAGGCCCTAACCTTTTCTTACTTGAAAGGTGGATGTGAAATGCTGTTTTCCAGATGTGGTACAACTGGTCAAGTACTTGATGTTGAGTGAAACCAAAATACAAACCAAAGAGGAATTTAGAATAACTTAGCTATTGAAAAAATTAACTGCATAATACAATACCTGTTAGTAATTGACTGTTCCAATATAGTAATGTCCCATAAACACCTGTTGGCAAAAAGGCAAATTTAGACACAGATTTTTACATGCCATTCTCTCTTCCAGGAAGAGAAACATCAAAAGAAGGTTCAGAAAATAGCAGCCAGGAATCATTCACTAAGGCTTCCAGCTCTTCTGAGACTCCAAACAGCTTCTGCTGATAAAGCTTAGAAAAGCTAGAAAGCCTGGTCTGTGATAGCTGGCCATACCCAGGCTGCTTCCATTCCAACCTTCTTTTCTAAAAAAAAAAACAAATGCCCCAAAGCACCACACGTTAAGTTGTCTTCAGTCGCCATTTCAGTGCCTCTGCCTTACAAACTCCTTTTTCTACCACAATAAAAGGACAAAATAGCCTTTCTGAATTGAGCAAATCTAGACTGATCCTTTAGTGCAGCGCAAGTAAACTTGCTGCAGGAACTTTAGTTTTTAATATGTTAGGCAGGCCTTTGGTTTAAGCGATTATCCTATTCTAGGAGGAATCTTCTTGGGCAAAACTCATTATACAACAGATTAAATTTTGTTCGGTAATTTATGGGTCATGGGTCTTGGCTCTTGGCTCTGTGGCTGCCTACACAACCTGCACTACACTTTTTTTAGATGTATTTCATTCAGTGTAAACTGCTTTGGATTTTCCTGAGGTTGGAAAACTGTGGAAGCACTCGCCCTTTCCTCCTTTTGCATATTTGTTTGTGCAGTATTTAGTATCCTAGAGGTTTATAAAATCGTGAGGGGCATGGACCAGGTGAATAGCCAAGATATTCCCCCCCCGCCCAGGGTAGGGGAGCTGAAAAGCCATACCCTCTGGTTAAGGTGGGAGGAGAAAGATTTTAAAGAGCTGCCAGAGGAAGTGGAGGTGGATCCAATAACTGCCTTTTAAAAGGCATCTGGATGGATTCTATGAATCGGCAGTGTTTAGATGGAGACAATATTAGAAATTGCTGGAAAAGCTCAGCAGGTGTGGCAGCATCTGTGGAGAGAAATCCAAGTTAATGTCTCTGATCAATTGACTGTCCCTCGTAACGGAATATGGGCTGAATGCTGGTAAATGCGACTAGGTCAGATTGGGATG